GAGAGAAATGTGAGGGGATAATGAGTTGCTTCGTTATTTATATTCAATCATCATTATGATAAATAATATTACTCTATTTTTTAACCACACATTCTCCATCAATCTACTATTTCAAAATGTATTCTACACAAAAAATGAGGCTCAAATAATGTGATATTTTATTTTTATTAATTTATTTATTGAAGGAATTTTCTATTAGTTTTAATGAAGATATATAATTTTTTAAATGCAGCTCCTACTAGAGGTGTCAAAACGAACGAGTCGGCCAGACCCGTGAAAATGGGGACCGTGGGCAGACTCGTGACTCGTGTGGGCGGTTCACAGGCCAAGAAGGTGTAACCCGCGGGCTTCGAGGGTTGCACCCCCACAGGCCGCGGTTAACCCAGGGCGCGTAAAAAAAATTGAAAAAGAAAAATAAAAGAAATCTTTTTTAAAAAGGCGACTCTCTCCCTAACAGCAGGCTCCTGCCTGCAGCAAGCAACTGCTTGCAGGGTCAAAAAAAAATTTAATTTTTTTTTTAAGTAACGGTAATATTACTTTTATAATGTTAATATCATCACATTCATCTATAAATTCCAATTGATTTTTACAATTATTTTTACAATACCCTCTCATTAGTTATTATACATTTATACTTCATAGTTCATACTTGTTACTACCTTACTACAATTACAATTATTCAATTGCAAATATCATCATCATCTTGATTATATTTCTTTCTTCTCGATTCTCNATCTACCTTCACGTAATTAGAAATGCATTTAGTTGTTAAATTTTAATTATTAAATTTGAATTCTATGTAAACATTTCTTGGTATAAATATGAATTTATCATTTTGTTCAATTCTTAGTTTACATTTAAACTTTTGGAACAACCCGCGACCTGTATGGTTTCAATCCGGATTGGTCAGTGGGCAAGCATGTGTTGTAGTCTAAAATTTGTGGGCTGACCCAAAATGGGCCCGGAACCCGTAGCGGGAGGGCTTTTTTTCACACGGGCTGTTATCGGGTTCATATGTTGGCGGGCCAACTCGGCCGGCCCACCCGGATTGACACCTCTAGCTCCTACCATACCAATGCAATTTTGGCAACCAAACCAATCAGCAATTTAAATTGAAGTCCAGAGATGTTGGGCGATTCTGCGAAGTTTGCGGTTGATTTTTCCACTTCACCCGAGAGCATAAATAAAATTATAAGTCGACTCTATATATTCCTACTTCTATATTTTTCAAAGAACTGGATGAGGCTTAAGGTTATGCTTTTTCACAACGACTTGTGTTGACCTGAAAATCCATCAATTATGTAGCCAAAAAAATTTTGTCCGCCTCCCCATTCACCTAAGCTTTACTCGCACACTGAACACACCATTAGGATGCAAAGGTCATCACAAAAAAAAGGTCTGACGATCCTTTATACTCCGACGATCAAGTCAATCGTCAGAATAAAATATCCGTAGTGCAAGAGAAAATTATAAGTTGGGGATTTGGTTAGAAGATGTAAAAAATTACCTTGGATTTGAATGAGCTTGCATGTATATAGAGGAGAAAGATGGGACTTGATTCAATTAACCCAATCTAATTTATTAATCAATGCTGAGTCGTCTGACGCGGAGCCCCTTTGTCACGTGTATACTGCATAGTTTTTGGTGGGATAATAATAGTTATCCAAGTTTGAGTCGTACATTTATATGCGATCGAAATTTGAAATATGTGAATTGTTTCTAGTGTAAAACTCTGTTCTATCATAGACATAATTCAAGAAGATTTTAAGTTCACATTTCGCCAAAACTGCATGAATAAAAATATCCGCAGAATATAGGGTTAATAGGCTGAGTTGAGAGGGCTGACTCTGTCTATGAGCTCACGAGCTTGGCTTGGTCACTCGACTCAGTAGAATATATATTCTTTTTTGAAATGTTACTAGAATGACTCGGTTTGTCCAAATTTTTTTGGGCTTGGTTCGCACTCAGGCTCGGGATCGGGCTTGTCCCTAAATGAGCTCGAGCAGTCCATGGGCCGAGTCCAGATTAGCAGACAAGTTACTCGGCCCAATTGCAAGCCCTCTCAAAATATGAAACCTTTTTCGTTAGAATAAAATTTCGTATAAGCATTATCAAAACTTGATGCTTGATGTTTTTTTTCTTATGCTGAGATCCTTGGAAAGTAAGTCTGGACGAATTAAGGAAATCGAGGATGTGAACAAGATGAAAATGGGCCTTCATGTTACTCATACCACAAACTTTCAAAAATGTTGCAGAATGGGGCAATCGCGGATCGAAATTTTTGAATTGAAAAAGAGCAAATTAAATAGGGAAAATTAAGCAAAACCAGGCATTAAGTATCTACTTTTTAAAAATCAGGTTTTCACCCTTTTTTTTTTTAATTTATCAGGTTTTTCATCTTTAAATTTTTTTTTAATCATTTTAATTAAATAATTGACTCTTTAAAACCCTAATTTATCAT